GGTTCCCACATATCATCTGTCTGTGAAAAGCAGCCGAATTGCAGTCTGCCAGGGAGAGACAGCTGGAAATGCAGGCACCTTCTTAAAAGGCCAACTCACAAAATTAAGTGTGCATCCACTCACCATGAACTCCAGCAGAGGGAGGGCAGAGTGCACTGGAGCTGTAGGAGCAGAAGCCAGGGTTGGGGGCTCTGGGGTTAGAGCTTGGAATGCAAACACCACAGTTTCCTGAGCCAAGTCATTCCCTCATATGGCAGAGGACATCCATCACCAGCAGACCATTACTATCCAGGCAGGTTTTGTCCCTCTGGAGAGCAGGGGGTTGGGAGGGGGAACAACTGCTTTTTTTATAAAAACTCCCAGCAAAGTGGGAATAGAGGGACCATCCATCAACATGATAAAGGCAATATATGACAAACCTACAGTCAACATCATACTCAATGGGAAAAAACTAAAAGCATTCCCCCTAAGAAAAGGTACAAGACAGTGATGTCCACTTTCACCACTCTTATTCAACACTAGTGGCCCGGTACACAAAATTCGTGCACATTAAAGGGGATTAATTAGAGGAAATATTTTAACATTGCTATTTGCCCTTTTTCTATAATAGAAGTGTCAGAGATGAAAGAAAATTAGTAACATGTACATGAAAATCTTCCTCCTGTCAGAGTCTGGGGTGCACCACGGGACCCAGATTCAAGTCCCCGCCCACCCATGTGTGCCTCGAAATTGTGTGAGACCCAGTCCCAGCAGGCCCCACCCCCATTGGGCTAGATCCAGACCCGATCAGTCCTACCCTTGTCAAGCCCTGCCGAGGGAAAGGGGGGGGGGGGGGCGTGGCCTGAGGTCCCTGCTGATTGCTCGTTAAGGCTCATTACAGAAACTCAGCCTCTGCTGTAGGTGCAGCCATCTTGTGTTACAGAAACCCCTTCTCTGCTGTGGGTGCCAACATCTTTGTAGTGAAGTGACGGTCAATTTGCATATTCCCACTTTATTATATAGGATAGTATTGGAAGTCTTAGCCACGATGATTAAACAAGAAAAAAAAAGCATCCAAATTGGAAAGGAGAACGTAAAACTCTCATTATTCGCAGATGACATATTGTACATAGAAAACCCTAGAGACGCCATCAAAAACACTACTAGATTTAATAAATGAATTCAGCAACATAGCAGGATACAAAATTAACACCCAGAAATCGATGGCATTTCAATACACTAAAAATGGATTCTCAGAAAGAGAAACTAAACAAACAATCCCACTTACTATTACCATAAAAAAAAATTAAGATACTTAAGAAGTAACTTAAACAAGGAGGTAAAAGACTTGTACTCAGAAAACTATAGGACATTGAAAAAAGATAAAGACAAGTGGAAGAATCTTATATAATAAAAAGTTAACATGCAAAAATGGTTGTCACACCCTCACGCCATAATGGCTCAGACACTCAACACTGGGGAGAGAGGAATGGGGACCAGCCAAGCACAAATGAGCTCCCAAGAGATGAATGGGGACCAGCCAGGCGCAAATGAGCTCCCAAGAGAGGAATGAGGACCAGCCAGGCACAAATGAGCTCATGAAAGAGGAATGGGGACCAGCCAAGCACAAATGAGCTCCCAAGAGAGGAATGGGGACCAGCCAGGCGCAAATGAGCTCCCAAGAGAGGAATGAGGACCAGCCAGGCACAAATGAGCTCATGAAAGAGGAATGGGGACCAGCCAGGCACAAATGAGCTCCCAAGAGAGGAATGGGGACCAGCCAGGCTGTGGCCCAGGAGAGGGACAAGCCGCCTGCTCCGCGGTCACAGGTGCCTGTGGCTGTGGCCCGGGCAAAGCCGCCTGCCCACAATCCCCTACAGCTGTGGCCTGCCCGGGCGAAGCCGGTCTGTGTCCTGGGTGCCTGTGGCCAGCCAGAGGGAGGGAAGCCCAGGTCCTGGGTGTGGGGCTAGGCAGAGGCGGTTAGGGGCAATCAGGCCAGCAGGGGAGCAGTTAGCGGTGATCAGGCAGGCAGGCAGAGGTGGTTAGGGGTGATCAGGCAGGCAGAGGGGTTAGGGGTGATCAGGCAGGCAGAGGGGTTAGGGGTGATCAGGCAGGCAGAAGAGCAGTTAGAAGCGAGCGGTCCCAGATTGCGAGAGGCAATCGGACATCCCCCAAGGGGTCCTGGATTGGAGAGGGTGCAGGCCAGGCTGAGGGCTCCTCCCCCACCCATGCACAAATTTCATGCACCAGGCCTCTAGTATACCATATTCATTGATTGGTAGAATTAACATCATTAAAATGTCCATACCACCTAAACCAATTTATAGATTCAATGCAATCCCTAATAAAATACCAACAGTATATTTCACATATCTCGAACAAATACTCCAAAAATTAATATGGAACCAAAAAAGACCCCGAATAGCTTCAGCAATCTTGAGAAAGAAGAACAAAGTTGAAGGGGTCATAATACCAGATATCAAGTTATATTACAAAGCCTCTTTGCTCAGCCTGATACTATCACAAGAATAGGCATAAAGATCAATGGAACAGAACAGAGACCACAGAAATCACACCAATTGATTATGCTGAATTAATATTTGACAAAGGAGGCAAGAGCATACAATAGAGTCAAGACAGTCTCTTCAATAAACAGTGCTGGGAAAATTAGACAGATGCAAAAAAATGAAACTAAACCAACTTACACCATACTAAAACTAAACTCAAAATGAATAAAAGATTTAAATGTAATTTGGAAACCATAAAAATACTAGTCTCAGACATCTCTCATAGCAATATGTTTACAGATACATCTCCTAGAGCAAAGGAAACTAAGAAGAAAAGAAACAAATGGGAGTACATCAAAAGAAAAGGCTTCTGCATAGTGAAATAAACCATCAACAAAATGAAAAGGGAGCCCACTGTATGGGAGAATATATTGGGCAATGATACATCTGATAAACGGTTAATATCCAAAATATATAAGGAACTCATACAATTTAACAGAGTAAGATAAACAAGTCAATTAAAAAATGGGCAAAGGAACTAAATAGACACTTCTTCAAAGCAGACATTCAGATGGATAAGAGACATGAAAAAATGCTCACAGTCACTGATCATCAGAGAGATGAAAATCAGAAGGACAATGAAGTATCACCTCCCACCTGTCAGAATGGCTACCATCAACAAATGGCAAGTGCTAGCAAGGATGTGGCAAAAAGAGATCCCTAGTACACTGCTGGTGGGAATGCAGACTGGTGCAGCCACTATGGAAAACAGTATGGAGTTTCCTCAAAAAATTAAATTATGTAACTGCCATTTGACCTAGTGACCCCACTTCTAGAAATATATCCTAAGAAACCTGAAACACCAAACAGAAAGAAAGTATGCTCCCCTATGTTCATAGTAGGGCAATTTACAATAGCTACGATCTGCAAACAGCCCAAATATCCATCAATAGATGAGTGGATAAAAAAGTTATAGCACATTTGTACCATGAAATACTATGCAGCAATAAAAAAGAAGCATTTCTTACCCTTTGAGACAGCCTGGATGGACCTGAAGAATATTATGCTAAGCGAAATAAGGCAGTCAGAGAAAGGTAAGTATCACATGATCTCACTCATATGTGTGAACAAAATAAACTGATGAAGAAAATAGGTCTAGAGATATAGAAGCTTGGAAGAGACTGTGGAATCTCAGAGGGAAGGTGGAGATAGGTGGATACAGATCAACAAAATAAGTTGTATGCATATAATCATTATCCATGGACACAGACAACAGGGTGGTGAAGGCCTAGGGTGGTGGGCGGGGGCAGCTGGCAGGTCAATTGTGGGGGAGTAAATGGGATGTATGTAATACTTTCAACAATATGGATTTTTTTAAAAAGAATGTGTACATGTATATATGCATATAAATGATAATGGAAGTTAATGACAAATGCACCACAATAAGTTTATCTCAACGGCAGGATTATTGCTTATTTAATTTTTTTTGTTTATTTAGATCAGTGGTTCTCAACCTTCCTAATGCTGTGACCCTTTAATACAGTTCCTCATGTTGTGGTGACCCCCAACCATAAAATTATTTTCGTTGCTACTTCATAACTGTAATTTTGCTACTGTTATGAATCGTAAATATCTGATATGCAGGATGTATTTTCATTGTTACAAATTGAACATAATGAAAGCATAGTGATTAATCACAAAAACAATATGTAACTATATATTCAATATGTGTTTTCTGATGGTCTTAGGCAACCCCTGTGAAAGGGTCGTTCAAGGGGTCGCGACCTACAGGTTGAGAACCGCTGATTTAGATATTTGATAATAAACATATAACTTTGGCCCTAATAACAGTTATTTTTTTAAAATATATTTTTTATTGTTGATAGTATTACAAATATGTCCCATTTAAATCATGTATCAACGAAGGAAAAATACCACATGATCTCACTCATTCATGGATAATAGAGACCATTATAAACTTTTGAACAATAATAGATACAGAGGCAGAGCTGCCTCGAACAGACTGTCAAACTACAGCAGGAAGGCCTGGGAGGGTGGGGGGGCAGGAGGCGGGGGGGGCAAGAGATCAACCGAAGGACTTGTATGCATGCATATAAGCATAACCAATGGACATAAGACACTGGGGGATAAGGGAGGCCAGGGGATTGTCAAGGGAGGGGGGAAAAAAAAGGAGACATATGTAATACTCTTTGTAATACTTTAAGCAATAAAAATAAATAAATAAATAAATCATGTAATCTTAGCAGTACAAATAACCCTCTTTCCACCAAAATTCAATTCCACAGAACTGTATGTAAACTCAACAGAGATCATGATTTTCTTACTTTTAGATTTCCTACCCCCAAAAGTAGCATAATCCTTGACAGAGTATAAATGGTTAATAAATATTTGTTAAATGGATGACATTTACAAATTCCCACTACATTTTCTCTCCTTTGCATTCCTTACAATTTGAGTGTCTGTCTAATGAAAATAATTTTTTTTATCATATACCTTTAAAGTCTCTTTGAGAGTTTGTTTCAAGTTGCTGTGATTGTGCCACTGTTTTCAACATCTCCTGAATTACGACCCGGTCACTATTTCCAGCATCACTATATAAACAGAATAATGATTAAAAATACACACACACATCACTAACAAACAAAAATAATGATTAAAAAAATACACACACACACACAACTTGAAAGTATTATGCCCTTATTGTTAATGTTATTATAAGAAAAACATTGGATATTAAGTAGTTACAATTTTAATCAAAATTCATAAAACCTAATTACATTCACAAAACCTTAAAACTGAGATATTTTAGGGTTATTAAAAATACTAACAATGTTCCATATTTAATACATTGTATGCAGGAAACGTATTTATACGTTTTACTTATACGTTTTACGTTGACTGGTAGTAGAGCGCAGGACACGTATTAATACTTTTTTATAGACTAGCGGCAGAATGTGGGTAACGTATAAATACGTAAACTAAAGTTATCATAATTTTACTGAACGTTGCCATTTGCTCAAAAAATTAGCAAAAATGGCCCACGCCACCTGTTAGCGCGCGATAAAAACTACCCCCAAACAATGTGTTAATTACAATTTAATCTCTGAAAATAATAAGTTTACCATTACTTAAAAAGAGCAATAACTAATAAGTAACAGTTCAATTACTTTAACACTTCTGTGTACACTATAGTTACTACCTCGTTACAGCTAATTTTCTTGATTATCTAGAATTACTCAAAATATAGAAATAACTATTTGAAACAAATTTAACTTCCATTCTTCTTCCCCATTATCAAAACAGCAAAGATCTGAGAGAGAACAATAGACACACCTGCTCCCAGCACTAGCATGGAGCTGACTCCCTTAGCAATGGGATGGGATAAGCAAATGGAATTTAAGATACAAAGTCAGAACTCTATAAGATGTTGACCTATTATAGGCATTATCTATCATTTATACCCACATATTGCTTTAGCATTTAAGTCATGTGCCTCACAAACCAACATAAGTCACTGGGTTAATTTAGGCTGAATGTCAATTTAAAACATCTGAAAAACAATCAGCTTAATCTCTAATTGACTATTCTTGCTACAGAGGAACTCACAATGAGAAAGAGGGCAAAGCAATCAGTTTTATTTTCCCAGCCATCAAATCTTTCTCAATTCACTATTACGTCAATATACCTACAGTATTTTTTTATGATAATTTTTTAGTCAAGAATCTAAACCATTTTCTTTTTGTCTATGGAATTAAAACTTTTTCTACATTTATGATCAAATCCTTCCCACCAACATTATTTCTCTTAATTTTCTTTGACATACCTAAAGAAAATCCTATGTGCTAAAAGGCTAATATGCAAATCCAATGAATGGCGGCACAACCAGTCACTATGACGTGCACTGACCACCAGGGGGCATATGCTCAATGCAGGAGCTGCCCCCTGGGGATCAGTGCGCTCCCACAGGGGGAGTGCCATTCAGCCAGAAGCCCTGCGCCTGGCTCACAGCTGGTGAGTGCAGCGGTGGTGGTGGGAGCCTCTCCCACCTCCACAGCAGCGCTAATGATGTCCGACTGATGGCTTAGGCCCGCTCTCCCTGGGGAGCGGGCCAAAGCCGTCAGTCGGACATCACCCGAGGGCTCCCAGACTGCAAGAGGGCACAGGCCGGGATGAGGGATCCCCCCAAGTGCACAAATTTTGTGCACCGAGCCTCTAGTAATAATAATACCTATCAGGATTGTTTTGAGGGCTAAATAATCCATGTAAAATTCTTCTCAGGGTGCCTTATACTGAATACATATTAGCTTATAATCTTATTCCTCCTGCTTCGTTCAGTCTTGCTCATTAGTTCTGAATTAGTTAATAATTTTTTAAATACTATGTACTTTACTTTGTGTAAAACACCAAGCTCTGTAAAGCAAGAAAACTTAATTATCAAAATTACTTGAATGAGGGGTTCTCAGAGAGAAGGCAAATTGAGAGGGTCTAGGCCAGGGGTGGGCAACTTTTTTGTGAGTGTGTGCCAAAACCAGCAAAATCTCTGACTCAAAATTCTTCTGCATGACAACCCTAATTTTTTGAGAACATGTTACGCCTACTTGATATCTCTTAAGGTGTACGTATGTGAAGAACCTTGAAGAAATAATAAAATTCATTCGAGCGACAAATACACAGTATATGATGATGAAAAATACATTTATTTTTTTAATGTATACATGTACACTGATAGTCAGACAGAAAACTTTAGGACTCTGTTTGATATTATCATTGGGACTTTTCCTGCTGCATCACTGATGACAGAGATTTTACCTCAGGTTTATATTTCGTGACCTTCAGAGATATGCACGAGCTACTACTTTCATCCGTCAGGCTACTCCTATTATGAGACTTAACAAAATTCATCACTGAGAACAAAGATTCACAAGCATATGTGAATGAAACCAAAACACTGGTTGGATCTAGGAAGGCAGGGAGAGTTAAGGCAGAGGCATAGAAATTGCTCTTCCCCTCTCTCATCAATCCATGTCTATGGTCTTTAAGATAACTTGTTATGTAAAATTATTTATTTATCTAAGATGCACCTACACTGAATTTATCTGAAAAATAAAAAAGTCGATATTAAGAAAAAAATTGTAAATGGAAGATTATAAGATAGGGTTTCGTGTGCCAGCAAAAGTTACTGGCGTGCCATGTCTGGCACACGTGCCAGGGGTTGCCCACCCCTAGTCTAGGCTCTCTAATTCACACTAGGCAGCTTCACTTTTATCTGTTTATACACTGTGTTTTCATACATGATTTTACTTTAAGAAAGGGTTCTACTCTTTAAAAAAAAAAATCTGAACATCATTGTTCTGCAAATGCTTATTTAGCCTTGGCTGGTGTGGTTCAGTGGTACAGTATCGGTCTCAGGTTCGATTCCAGGTCAAGGGCATGTACCTGGGTTGTAGGTTCGTTCTCCTGCGCTGGTTGGGGCATGTGCAGGAAGCAACCAATTGATATCTCTCTCTCACATCAATATTACTTTCTCTTTCTCTCTCTCTCCTGCCCTCCCTCCTTTCCACTCTCTCTAAAAATCAATGGGAAAATATCCTTGGGTGAGGATTAACAAAAAATAATAAAAATGCCTATTTTTATACAGTAGCAGCTTACCTGGGATTAACTTCAAGGTGGTAATTGCTTGCAATAGTGCTAATTTCAATTTTCTTTTTAGATGGAGTCTGTGGACAAAGAAAATAGATGTTTTTCACATTCATTTATTTGGCTAGCTCTCCTCTTTCCTGTATTTCACTGTTTCTTTTTATTATACTAGAGGCCCAGTGCATGAAATTTGTGCATTGGGGGGGGGGGGGGGAGGTGTCCTTCACCCTGCACCCTCTCACAATCTGGGACCCCTCGGGGGATGTCCGACTGCTGGTTAAGGGCCCTTCAGCCCAGCAGTCAGATATCCCTCACAATCCGGGACCCTGGCTCCTAACTGCTCACCTGCCTGCCTGATTGCCCTTAACTGCTTGCCTGCCTGCCTGACAGCCCCTAACCGCTCTGCCTGCCTGATCACCCGACCACCTGCCTGATCGCCCCTAACCACACTGCATGCCTGTCTGATCACTCCTAACCGCCTCTGCCTTGGCCCCTGCCACCGCAGCTTTGTCTGGAATGACTTCCGGAAGGTTGTTCAGCTGTCCGGTCTAATTAGCATATTATACTTTTACTATTATAAACAATTCATGCTTACTAAAATAAAATTTTAGAGAACTACCACTGTTTTAACTTAATCCCATTCTTTTATTACTGTGCAGATTAACATTGATACAAATTACATGATACACAGCCTGTTTTTATTGAGGTTACATTTTTCCTCTACCTCCAAAAATCTCCAAACCATTTTGTTATCAGATCACCTCTGCACACAACCTATATATGTCCTTTTACAGCCTTTCCCATAAACAGAAAAATAAATACACAAATCTACACACACACACTATCAGTATTTCTGGTCAAAAATAAAAGAGGCAAACATATTTCACTGTTTTGCTTTTCCTACTTAACAATACAACTAGGAAATCCCTGTCAGACAAAGTGGAATAGGGTGTTAGAGTTGCATTTGAATCTATAACATGGGTGTCCCAAAAACAAGTTATATTGATGGGCATTTTATTTAATGCTTTTTGCCCTCTCAAACAATTCCACAATTAACATCCTTGCACATGTCTCCTACACTGCTTTCATTTCTATGGCAATAGATTCCCAATAAAGAATTTGTTCGATTGACAAGGATATTTCCTATACTTCTATTATGTATGTGTGTTTATATGTGTAATCAGTTTCCCTTCCAAAAAAATATTTAGCAATTCCTTTTTCTCCTGGCAGTGAATATAATTCCCCAACTTTCCCCATCTTCATTAAAAGTATTACATCATGACTTTAATTTTTGCCAGGTGATCAGTATATTTTAAATGTGTATACACACATATATGTACCACTAGAGGCCCGGTGCACAAAAATTTGTGCACTCGAGGAGGAGGGGGGGTGTCCCACAGCCCGGCCTGTGCCCTCTCGCAGTCTGGGACGGCTCGGGAGATAACCTGCTGGCTTAGGCCTGCTCCCGGGTGGCAGAGGGCAGGCCCAATCCCTAGGTGCAGCCCCTGGTCGGGCTCAGACCAGGGCCGACTGGGGAGTTGGGGCGCTGCCCCGTCATGCACAGAGCAGGGCGATCAGGAGGTTGTGATGCCACCCTCAGTCACGCTCAGGGTAGGGCCGATTGGGGGGTTCGGGCACCGTCCCGTCACACTCAAGGCAGGGTCGATGGGGAGGTTGCGGCGCCACTCCGTCACGCACAGAGCAGGGCCAATCAGGGGTTTGGGGTGCTGCCCCCGTCACACACAGAGCAGAGCCCATCAGGGGGTTGGGGCACCGCCCTCTATCACCCACAGAGCAGGGCCCATCAGGGGGTTGGGGTGCCGCCACTCTCACACTCAGGGCAGGGCCGATGGGGAGGTTATGACTCTACCCCATCACACAAAGAGCAGGGCCCGTGGCGGGGGGGGGGGGGGGGTTGGGGAGCTCCCCCCTATCAGGCACAAAGCAGGGCTGCTCAGGGGGTTGGGGCCCCGCCCACTGTCACACACACAGCCACAGGGCAATCAGGGGGTTTGGGCGCTGCCCCCTGTCACGCTGATCCCGGTGCTGGGAGGCATATTACCCTTTTACTATATAGGGTAGAGGCCTGGTGCATGGGTGGGGCCGGCTGGTTTGCCCTGAAGGGTGTCCTGGATTAGGGTGGGGGTCCCCACTGGGGTGCCTGGCCAGTCTGGGTGAGGGGCTGAGGGCTGTTTTCAGGCTGGGAATGACTAAAGTTCCCAACCATTCCTTTTTTTCTTTTTTTTTTTTATTCTGGGCCAGCTTTAGCTTGAGGCTTGGCTCCAGCTCTTAGGCCTGCCTCGCGGCTGAAAGTAGGTTTCTGGCCTTTGCTTACAATGTTGCAAATCTGCTGGCTGAAGTCCGGCGGTATTTGTTACAATGTTTCTTAAACTGCCCGTTCAGAGGCCTGCAGCCGCAGGCGGGGAACGTTGGTTTCCTCCAAGATCCTCCTCCGTCACTGAGGCAAGCAAGCCTCATGTTAGTTTCAAGCTGCCTGGCTGCCAGCCACCATCTTGGCTGACAGTTAAGTTGCATATCTCGCTGATTAGCCAATGAAAAGGGTAGTGGTTGTACGCCAATTACCATGTTTCTCTTTTATTAGTGTAGATAGTTAATACACATTATAAGATATGAAATATAAGAGAATATATATAACAGAATATATGTAATAGATTCACACTGCTTTTCCTTGACTATCACAAAGGTCAACATCTTTACATGTTTATTAGCTGTTTATATTTCTCTTCTGTGACTGTTTTTTATTCCATTTGCTACCGGGTTTTTGTCTTTTCCATTGTTGGTTTATAAAATCTTTTACCTAAAATGATCCTTTCAAATATTTATAATCACTCGTTTTCCTATTTATTTTATGTGTTATCTTGTCATACAAATTCCAAAAATTCCTATATTTCCAAGTATGTGTGTGTATCTATATATATATATACATATATATATATATATATAGATACACACACACAGATACACACACTAGAGGCCCGGTGCACAAAAATTTGTGCACTCGGGGGGTGGGGGGAGTCCCTCAGCCCGGCCTGCGCCCTCTCGCAGTCTGGGAACCCTCGGGAGATAACGACCTGCTGGCTTAGGCCTGCTCCTGGGTGGCAGAGGGCAGACCCAATCCCTAGATGCAGCCCCTGGTCAGGCTCAGAGCAGGGCCGATTGGGGAGTTGGGGCGCCGCCCCGTCATGCACAGAGCAGGGCGGATCGGGAGGTTGCGATGCCACCCTCAGTCACGCTCAGGGTAGGGCCGATTGGGGGGTTGGGGCACCGCCCCATGTCACACTCAAGGCAGGGTTGATGGGCAGGTTGCGGCGCCACCCCATGTCACGTACAGAGCAGGGCGGATCAGGGGGTTGGGGCGCTGCCTCCTGTAACTCACAGAGCAGGGCCCATCAGGGGGTTGGGGATCTCCCCCTTGTCACTCACAGAGTAGGGCCGATAGGGGAGTTGGAGCACCGCCCCCGTCACACACAGAGCAAGGCGGATCAGGGGTTTGGGGCGCCGCACCCTGTCACACTCAGGGCAGGGCCAATGGGGAGGTTATGGCTCTACCCCGTCACACACAGAGCAGGACCCGTGGGGGGCGGTTGGGGCGTCACCCTCTATCACCCACAGAGCAGGGCCAATCAGGGGGATGGGGTGCTGCCACTGTCACACTCACAGCAGGGCCAATGGGGAGGTTATAGCTCTACCCTGTCACACACAGAGCAGGGCCCATGGGTGGGGGGGTTTTGGCACCGCTCCGTCACACAGAGGGCCGCAGGGCAATCAGGGGGTTGGGGAGCTCCCCCCATCAGGCACAGAGCAGGGCCCATCAGGGGTTGGGGCGCCTTCCCCTGTCACGAACAGAGCATGGAGGATAGGGAGGTCGTGGCCCGCCCCCTGTAACACACAGAGCCGCAGGGCGATCAGGGGGTTTGGGCACTGCCCCGTCACGCTGATCCCGGTGCAGAGAGGCCTTGCAACTCCGCTGATCCCGGTGCTGGGAGGCATATTACCCTTTTACTATATAGGCTAGAGGCCTGGTGCACGGGTGAGGGCCTGGTGCACGGGTGAGGGCCTGCTGGTTTGCCCTGAAGGGTGTCCTGGATCAGGGTGGGGGTCCCCACTGGGGTGCCTGGCCAACCTGGATGAGGGGATGATGGCTGTTTGCAGCTGGTCACACACCCTTCAGGGTGGGGGTCCCCACTGGGGTGCCTGGCCAGTCTGGGTGAGGGGCTGAGGGCTGTTTTCAGGCTGGCAGGTGACTGAAGCTCCCAACCGCTCCCTTTTTTCTTTTGTTTTTTATTCTGGGCCAGCTTTAGCTCTGAGGCTCCAGCTCTTAGGCCTCTGCTGCTGAAAGCCTTTGTTTACCTTCTGTATTTGAAACAATGTTGCAATCCTGCTGGCTGAAGCCCAGCAACTAAAGCAGGTTTCTGGGGTTTTGTTTAACTTCTATATTTGTAACATAGTTGCTTAGAGTTGCAGCTCAGAGGCTGGCAGCGGCAGGCGGGGAACGTTGGAGTCCTCCGTCACTGAAGCAAGCAAGCCTCATGTTCGCTTCCAGCTGCCTGGCTGCCGGCCGCCATCTTGGCTGGCAGTTAATTTGCATATTGCCCTAATTAGCCAATGGGAAGGGTAGCGGTCGTACACTAATTACCGTGTTTCTCTTTTATTAGATAGGAGCTATATACATTATATATATATACATATGTATATACATATACATATACATATACATACATATATATATATATATATATATATATATATATACACATATATATATTTCTATAGCGTCTATGTTTTCTGTCAAAAGGTGTTCTTGATCCATAGGCTGTTTAAAAAATTTTATTGAAAAGTTTAGCGTATCACTTTAACAATTAAATCTTTACTTCATCTGGAATTTATCTTTATATATTAGGTATCAGAAATTCAACTTTTTAGGTTAGCACGTTGTGCTTACTCACCCTTTTCCTACTGATCTGAAATAGATCCTCCATCTTATTTCTGGGCTATTAAGTTTCACTGACCTAATTCTCTGTACCCATGCCAATACAATACTATTTTGATTATAATAGCTTTAAAATATGATTTAATATTTGTTCATGTCAGTCCCACTTCCGAATTTTTTTAAGTTACTTTAGCCAGGATCAAAAATCTATTATTTCAGAGGTACTTTAAGAACTTCATACAATTAAAAAACAATTGGATTTTAATAAATCTTCATTGAAAGTTACACTGTGACTGGAGGAAAACAGATACTTTTAAATATTAAGTCACATATCTGAGACATACTGCATCTTTCCATTTGATCAGTTCTTGTTCTTTGTCCTTTTATGTTAAAGTTTCTCCTACAGATTCCACACTTTCCTTACTAAAATTTTCCCAGCATATATTATAAGAATTTCCACCAGGATATATGTCAAACTCAATGTATCTAAACACAAACTAATCGAAGAGTCAAGACAGTATCTTCAATAAACGTTGGGAAAATTAGACAGATACATGCAAAAAACGAGACTAGATACCAACTTACACAATACTCAAAAATAAACTCAAAATGAATAAAAGACTTAAATGTAAATCATAAAACCATACAGATCTTAGACATCTCTCATAGCAATATGTTTGTAGATACATATCTTAGGGCAAAGGAAACTAAGGAGAAAATAAACAAATGGGACTAAGTCAAAATAAAAAAGCTTCTGCATAGTGAAAGAAACCATCAACAAAATGAAAAGGAAGCCCAGTGTATACGAGAACATATTTGGCAATGATATATCTGATAAACAGTTAATATCCAAAATATATAAGGAACACATACAACTTAACAAAAGTAAGAAAAATGATCCAATTAAAAAGTGGGTAAAGGACCTAAATAGACACTTCTTCAAAGCGGACATTCAGATGGATAAGAGACATACGAAAAAATGCTCCAAGTCACTGATCATAAGGGAGATGAAAATTACAACAACGAGATATCACCTTACACCAGTCAGAATAGCTACCATCAACAAATCAACAAATGACAAGTGCTAGCCAGGATGTGGAGAAAAGGGAGCACTAGTTCACTGTTGGTGGGAATGCAGACTGGTGCAGCAATTCTGGAAAACAGTATGGAGTTTCCTCAAAAAATTAAATATGAAAAAGAAAACTTAAATATGGAACTTCCATTTGACCCAGTGATCCCACTTGTAGGAATATATCCTAAGAAACCCCAAAGACCAAACAGATAGTATGTACACACCCCTAAGTTCATAGCAGAGCAATTTACAATAACTAATTTCTGGAAACAACCCAAGTGCACATCAGTAGATGAGTGGATAAAAAAGCTGTGGGCACTCTCCCTTCAGGCGCCTTTCCCCTCCTCCTTTTAGCCCCCTCCCCCCCAGGCAACAACAACAACAAAAAAAAGTGTGGTACATTTACACCATGGAATACTATGCAGCAGTAAAAAAGAAGGATCTCTTACCCTTTGAGACAGCATGGGGGGACCTGAAGAGTACTATGCTAAGCAAAATAAGCCAGTCAGAGAAAGACAAGTATCACATGATCGCACTCATATATGTAAATCTAATGAACAAAATATACTGTTGAACAAAATAGATCCAGAGACACAGAAGCATGGAAGAGGCTATGGAATCTCAGAGGGAAGGCGGGGGTGAGGGGGTGGTGAGGAGTAGGGGGGAGGTAGAAAGAGATCAACCAAAGAACTTGTACGTGTAACCCATGGACACAGACAATATGGTGGTGGAGGCCTGAGGCGAGGTTAGGCAATAAGGGGTCAATGGGAGAAAAAAGGGGACATATGTAATAGTTTCAACAATAAAGATTAAAAATTAAATAAACACAAGCTAATCAACATTGGCCTAAAATCTATCATCCTAAACATTCTAATAACACTACTTACCATCCAGTCATTCACCACGCATTTTTTTTTCAATGTCCTATATGTATAAGACAGTATAGCAATGGCTATGAAGGATATGAAAATGAATATGCCATATTCCCTATATAATTTCAAAATAAATACTATTTTGTCAAAGTAAAAGATGTAAAAGCTATCCTATCTAGTAATACACAAACATGGTAATTAACCATACCTCCAACACGCTTCCCATTGGCTAATCAGGGCGATATGCAAAGTAACTGCCAAACAAGATGGCGGCCAGGCAGCTGAAGCAAACAGGAGGCTTGCTTGCTCCAGTGATGGAGGAAGCCAAGGTTCCCCGCCTGCTGCTGCCCGCCTCTGAGCTGCACTCTAAGAAACCATGTTGCAATTATAGAAACTAAACAAACCCCAGAAACCTGCTTTCAGACAGCTGGCCTCGGAGCTGGAGCTGCAACAGTGTTTCAATTATAGAAGCCAAACAAACCCAGATACCTGCTTTCAGCAGCCGAGGTCTCAGAGCTGGAGCCGAGCCTCAGAGCTAAAGCCGGCTCTCAGTTCCAGTGACAGCTATAGAAGGTAAATAAATCCCAGAATAAAAAGACAAAAGAAAAAAAGGAGAGGTTGGGAGCTTCAGTCACCTGCCAGCCTAAAAACGGCCCTCAGACCCTCACCAGACTGGCCAGGCACCCCAGTGGGGACTCCCACCATGAAGGGGGTGTGACCAGCTGCAAACAGCCATCATCCCCTCATCCAGGCTGGCCAGGCAACTAAGCGGGACCCCCACCCTGATCCGGGACACCCGTCAGGGCAAACCAGCCAGCCCCCACCCGTGCACCAGGCCTCTATCCTATATAGTAAAAGGGTAATATGCAAACTGACCCTAACAGCAGAAGGACTGGGAATGACTGGTTACTATGACACATGCTGACCACCAGTGGGCAGACGCTCAATGCAGGAGATGCCCTCTGGTGGTCAGGGCGCTCTCACATGGGAGGAGCTCTGCTCAGCCACAAGCCAGGCTGAGGGCTGCCAGTACAGTGGTGGTGGTGGGAGCCTCTCCTGCCTCCTCAGCAGTGCTAAGGATGTCCAACTGAAGTTTAGGCCTGGTCCCCGCTGGCAAGTGGACATCCCCCGAGAGCTGCCGGGCTGCCAGAGGGATGTCTGATTGCCATCTTAGGCCCAATCCCCCCGGGGAGCGGGCCTAAGCCAGCAGGTGGTCATTCCCTGAGGGTCACAGACTGCAAGAGGGCACAGGCCGGGCTGAGGGACCCTCCTCCTCCCCACCGAGTGCACAAAAATTTGTGCACTGGGCCTCTAGTAATAATATAACATAAGGCAAAACAAAGTAAGTACTGTTAAAGTACAAACTGTGTACTAGAAGGAAAATTAGTTCTAATGGAGTTGTAGGGCACTCTGACAGCAGACATTCCAGCTAGATCTTCAACATGGTCTAGAAGGAAAGAGCATGAAAATGCACTGGACAATATGAAGCTGGAAAGCTCAGCCAGGGCAAGATTACAGGAACTCTATTATGATCCCAGAGCCTCATGCCTCCTTTTCCAGACAGTCAGCTGCCAATCTTTACCAAATTGCCTTATTCCACGATTACAATTTCCCTCAAAATCAATCCTTCTTTCCATACCCACTATTGCTCTCAGAACAATGAGCTTTTGAAACCTTGAGTTCTAGTTCCAAATGAGCCACTGATTTTCTATGTAATTTAAAATGAACCCTACCACCACATTTTACCCTAATCTCCTGTTGCTCCTATTTCTCTATAACATAACTGACTTTGGGCTGGTTATAATAATTAAGTCTATAAATCAGTAGCTCTCAATCCTGAACACCAGGATTACCTGTGAAATACTTACTTAAATCATATATGGGGCAGCAATGGGGGAGGGCAATGTATTGATGAGGAGGATTGAAAATCCCTGCTATAAATATTTGGAGGGCTCAAAGTGAAATGCTTACTGTGATGGTCTGATGTTCAATTCTCAATTTTTCCACTCCAACACCATAAAGTTCACGTAGAATACACATAATTCTTGTCTTTTTACCAGCACCTGACGGACCATACACTAACAAATGAGGAAAGTCACCACACTGTACCTGGGAAAAGAAAAAAAATCAAACAATGACGTATTTTCCTAATCATACAATTGTTCTGGGTAGAATTAAACTCTTTTTAAGTATCAATATTTTGTATCTCTACCTATGAAACTTCAAATATATATATATGTATGTGTATGTGTGTGTGTGTGTGTGTGTGTGTGTGTGTATGAGTATACATATTTATTTTACATTTATGGAATGTTGATTATTCCCTGGCATTAATTTTATGTAATTCATACCCAGCATACATGCTTGATACAATACCATATGCTAGAAAGTAAGAACTCCCAAATCTGGCTGTCAGAATCTCCTAGAGAACTTTTTAAATTAAAAGACTGGTTAGTTATTAGATCCATTCCATCAAATTATGATTTAGTAACTGAAATTAAACTGGTTTTTCACACAGTCCCTTTGATAAGAGCTGAGTGCATTTGGCCTATTTGGGAAGTAAAGAAAAATTTTGTAGGGAAGCAATAGGGAAAGAAGGCAGAGTGTATTATCAATTTAAATACCATTCTGGGCACATGAGACTTGATCCTGCTGGGGATCTTGAAGCTAAAGTTAAAATACACCACAGTATTACCCCTCTCAAGGGTGCAGAAGATGGAGTCTGACATGCTCTCTCATCAATCCTTTGTTAAAGCTAGACTGGAAAAGTGGACAGGGAGTAGTGAACATTAACTCCCAGGTATTTCAAATCAATTTAGGGGTGTCAGCAAGAGAAAGCCTCAGGAAGTGCAAATACAGGGAGGTGAAAGTCAGCCTGTGTGCACTTACAAGAAAGAGCAAGGGGACAAAGTAGAGCACCGACAGTGCTGCATTACAGTGCAAGACTGTGTTTTCTATAATGTTTCCCAGGTGACACTGATGATCAGTCTGGTTTAGGAATTTATAATATGAAAGGCTATAAAGATGATGAAAACACATCTGTGCCTCGGATAAATAAAATCTTGTGGAGCAAAAGTTCTGTAAGTAACCATTATAGAAAAAATAAGTATCTTAGAGAAGTACTTATTACAGTACATTTTAACACTTTGTAAACTCATCTAACTCTGGCACTGAAAAAAAATGTCTCAAGGAAAGACACTATTCAACTAATAATACATACCCCTCAAATACTAGCAGCCTTTGTTTTTCAATCTTCAATCTAATCAAAAATAAAGGTTATGCTTTAAATGTTTCATAGTTTTATTAAACTGTAGACTCAACAATAAAAAGGTAAACATTTTTTAAAAGCAAATCTATTATTTCATAAGATGAATATATTAAATTTTTGTCCAAAACATTTATTCCAAATTCTGTAAAAAAGCCACAGATAATGTAAAATGTATCTTTTGTCTAAGAAAAATGAAGTGAAAGCTATTGTGAGAAAATGCAATTTGTCTATAAATAAAGTATACAGATGTAATAGGTTTTAGGTCCCTAAAAGGGGTGGATAAATGGCTTCCAGGGACACAAGATTTTGCTGAAGACCCTCTTCCCTGTCCACTCCCTACAAAATTTGGTTTGCTTCTCACAAACCTTGCCATCAGCATTTTATAAATGACAACATAAAAATAGGCATCAGGATTGGGGGGGGAGGGGGTTTCCACATGGAATTAAACTCAAGGACAACCTAATTAGCAACCTATTTTAGAATTATAAATGACCTTAGAAATGAATAAGCCAAATACCTTCCCATCTGTAAGGAGGACAACGACACCAGGAAATTTTAAGTAAGCTGGTTTAAAAAAAATCAGTGGGATGACGTCACCTCACTGCTCCAAACCTTCCGAAGGCTTCCCACCCACCTCTGTGGAATTTATTGCATTTGCACCCCGTCCCAAACACACACCCCATTTCCTCTTCCTCCTCCCTCTGCCCACTATTACCCAGCTACACCGGCTGGAGGACTCCAGAAGCTGCGCACACGCCTGCCTCCGAGACTCTGTGCTTGCTGTTCCCTCCACCCGTTCCCTCTGCCCCGCGTCTGTACCGGGTTTTCTCGCTCCATGTGGGACTGGTCTGGGCTCAGACGACAGTTCTCAGCCAGCCTATCCTTGTTTACCGGCACGACCTTCGCCCCCACTCCCCCTTTCCCCTTCACTGTTTTATTGTTCTCCACAGCAGCCGTCACCTCCAGCGGCGGCGGGGCCAACGCCGGAGCCCGGCCGCCCTCCCCGCGCCCCCGCCCGGCGCCTCACCAGGCTGCGCAACTCGGCCGCCTGCTCCCTGTGGTAGTCCAGCCGCGCCAGCGAGCAGGGCCGGTACTTGTCCGCCCAGAGGCTCATGGCTGGTGGAGTTCCCGGGCCGGACGCTCGAAAGTCCCGCGCGCGCGCTCCGCACCCAGCTGCCCCGGCAACTTCTGCGCACGACTCAAATCTCGTGACGTCACTACCGCCCGCGGGCGCGGAAACGACTTCAGGACCTTTCTTACTACGGAAGCCTAGTGGGGACAGAATTGGCCGCGGCCTCGTCCCGTTCTCATCCTGTTCATTCTAATCGTTTCCCTTTGTTCTCGCTCGGTGTGATAGTTCAGAAACTATCTAGCAAAATTTGAAATTTGGCTCTGATATTCTAGGCGTCGAATCTCTGGGTACCTTAGAGAAGCTACTCTCCTTGATTCATTTCGTTATTCATTTATTCACTCATGCTTTCTACAGAAACTTACAAAATAGTTACTGTGTCGAACTCTGTTCTTGACACTAGAATATGTCCGGTTGTGGCTTTTCTCACTTGACAGGCACCCTATAATTTATTGAATAAATTGCTAAAAAGAGATCTAAACTTTACTATCTTTCCTTACCTCCATTCTTCGAGGTTCTTACTGGATTGAAAGCAAAACAATCTAAAGTTCATGAAAAGCTACAGAAATGTGGCCTGTAGTAGAAAAGACATAAGGGTAACAAACTATTCTAAGTCCAGAATGTTTGAAAGACCTTTTGATTAAAATGAGGGGGAAAATGTGAAACCCTTGGGAAAATATTTTGCATATCAAACCTATATAAAATGTTCATTATGCCTCTCAAATTATACCTCTCAAATGCACTTTCTAGTTGTACACAAGTGTTTTCAAAGTTGTCAGAGGTTCTAAGGAAGGAAAAATGGTGTGGAGGGGACAACAAAACACACAAAAGACACTTCGCTCAACTAGGGTTGCCAGATTTTACACATATAAATACAGAAGCCCCAATTTAATTTTAAATTCAGATAGCTTTTTAATATTATTGAATATTACTGCAAATATTGGATGGGCATACCTATGCAAAATCATACTTTTTTTTTTTAATTAAAATCTAATTGGGTACCCTGTATTTTATGTGGCAATCCTCCTCCAGACCCTTAAATATTTGGGGTGCAAAAAAATTGCTATGAGAAAATAGGATCCTCTGAGGAGAGCCAGAACATGAAAGAAGTCTTCAGAGAAGAGATTATCAATATAAATCAGTGGCCGGCAAACTACAGCTCCCATCACTCAGTGGCTCAGATTCCTCAGCTCTAAAATGGGGTTGATAAAACCTGCTTTACATGGTTCATTTGAGAAATAAGTGAGGTAATGTAAACATCTAGCACAAAGAAGTCACTCAGTAATTAGTGGTTATATTTTAACTAGAGGCCTGGTGCACGAAATTCGTGCACTGGGGGGTGGGGTTCCCTCAGCACAGCCTGCCCTTCTCACAGTCTGGGAGCCCTCAGTGGATGTCCTACTGATGGCCACAGTCTGGCAGCAGAGGCTTGGAGCAGGCGTCCTGTGTGTGTGTGTGTGTGTGTGTGTGTGCGCGCGTGTGTGTGTGTGTGTGTGTGTGTGTGTGTGTGTGTGTGTGTCTGCTGGGGGCCTGCCACCAGCCATACCATGGAGGCTTGGAGCAGGCGCCCCTCTGTGTTGATCTCTCAGGCTCCTAGCCTCCACTGTGTGTTTTTCTCTCCCTTGAGCTGTGGCCAGGGTGGGGTGCTGCCTCCACTGTGTGTTTTTCTCTCCCTTGAGCTGTGGCCAGGGTGGGGTGCTGCCTGCAGGCTGCGCTTTCCTGCTCATGGATCACCGGATCACTGCAGAGACGGGGGCAGGCCCTGCTGGGTGCTGCCTGTGGGAAACTTTCCTGCTCTGGGATCGCCATGGTGATCCCAGGAGCAGGCCCACCTGGGGGCCACCAGCTCTCCGCACTTGCCTGCTCTGGGATCCCAGTGGGGTCCCAGCTGGCAGCGGGGATTATGTGGCACATGGGGGTCCCGGCTGGGGGTGGGGCTTAGGCGCCTGGGGCTTAGGCAGCACAAGAGGATCCCGGTTGGGGTGGGGCTTAGGTGTCGCAATTGCACTGCCTAAGCCCCGCCGACCTTGGCCGCACCGGGCCCAGATGGCATCTGGCGTTGGCCAGCTAAATCTGCACCAGAGATAAATCTGCACTGAGTTTATCTGAACAAAAATGATAAATGTATCATCCTGTACCTGTAACTGAGCACTAGACAGAACCAACCAAAACTTCCAAATGACCTCAAGATGAAGGATTACATTCCCTGTACTTTTCTGCTCCTAACTCTTGGCAGTTTATTCCAATGCACCTCTCTGGGGAAAACTTGTAATGGTTCTTGCCAAAATCAGGAGTAAGGTCCTTCTATAGCAGTGGTTCTTAACCTTCCTAATGCTGCAGCCCTTTAATACAGTTCCTCATGTTGCAGTGACCCCCAATTTCATTGTTACAAATTTAACATAATTAAAGCACAGTGATTAATCACAAAAACAATATGTAATTATATATGTGTTTTCCGATGGTCTTAGGTGACCCCTGTGAAAGGGTCGTTCGGCCCCCAAAGGGGTCGAGACCCACAGGTTGAGAACTGCTGTTCTACAGGCTAAATATAATTTTGGTTATTTAAAGAGGAGTGATAAGGCAGATGCGTCACGATCTAAGAGGCCTAGAGACTAGTCAAGGGGGTGCATGCAATTTTACTTCCTAAAAAAAAAAAAAATTATCACTTTGGCTTCACCACATGCTTGTAAGTTTTCTTTTTCACGTGGTTGGGTAGATTTGGACTTTCCTTTTCAGAGAGTAAACTTAGCAAATTTTGTTGCCATCTGCTTCACTTCTATTTGAAAGTAAGAAAATTTTGGGCCCATTTTTCTTTTATTTTTTTAGAGAGAGTGGATGGAGGAAGGAAGGAGAGAGAGAGAGAGAGAAACATTTACGTTAGATAGACACATCGATCGGTTGCCTCCTGCACAGGCCCCTTCTCGGGCTGGGATCAGGCCTGCAACCCAGGTACATGCCCTTGACAGGGAGTAGAACCTGGACCCTCCAGTCCATGGGCTGATGCTCCAACCACTGAACCAAACCTGCCAGGGCTGGCCCTTTTTTTCATTATAATTTGCTCTTAGATTGGCAGTGATAGTGTCCAGTTATAATTCCATTTCTTTATTTGAGACAAAACGAATGAGCAAATCCTTCTCTCAACTTTATAACATTAAGTAGTAAGCTAGAAAAAAAATTTGAACAGAGATTTTCCACAAGAACACTATATTATGTCACATTTCTTTTGGGAAACTATATGAAAATTATCTTTCTGAAATACCATAATTGTGCATAAGTCATGGTGCAAATAATGAGAATGGTAGCTTAATGCATCCCAAGAGGGGAACAAAGTGTGAAATTTATGGTAAATTGTGACAGAAGTAATGTTCTGTGCTCAATATATCTTTCCTCTATATCTTCAATACAAGGGTATTTCTTCCAGCCTCCTCTGTTGTTAATGAAATCATATAACTAAGTTTTGAACAATGGAAAGCAGTGTCCAGTGATGGGCACCATTTCCACTCCTGTTCCACTCCTCTGCACTTTATTCGCTCATTGGCCAGTTTAATGCAGAGAATCCAGTGGAGAGCACAGAGGTTCTTGGGGACAGTTGAAACACTAGATGGAAGTAACCTGAGTCCCTGCTTCTTCACCCTTATTGCTTTCCCCACACAGCACCCCCCCCCTCCCACCAAAGCAAATAAGGTAATTTATTTGGGAGATGACCTCATGGATCAGCAGAGATGGACTGAGGAAAGTAAAACAGGGGAGGAAGTAAAGTCAAAGGAAGAGGGTGTTATGGAGGTCACTTCTGTGGGAAGCTGGGGTTTGATACCTCTGTAAGTCTACCTCTGAAGAAAGTACAGAAGATTTTTTGAATTGGCTACCAAAGGGATAGGGAGAAACATTCTTCCACCAGCTCCCACACTCTATTAGCTAAGGACTTCCCCTGAGGATGGTACTTCACACACACACACACACACACACACACACACACACACACACACACTCACACCATTCTGTAAAGAGCCTGAATGCTGAACAGGATCCTGCTGGTGCCCATTCCATCAAAGCCCAACAACCCTACCATTTTTTTCTTATCCATCATTCATTTCCTTATCCATTCTTTTATAAACTAGGTAATACTGGGTTTGTACTTTTTATATTAAATTTTCACACAATATTAAAATATCCCAGTATAATAAAGACAACTTTAATTATTAATAAAAATAATAGAAATAATAACTATGATTTATCAGAGAGGTTGATGCATTGCAGAGAAGTATCTTTCACATAAAAAGCAAATGGCACTTCATTAAAATGCCATGTATTCTCAAGTTCAATGAGGAGGCAAACAGGTTTTTGACTGATGGACAGTTTTTTGTCCTTTTTCAGTTGGCATATGCATTGCTTCAAAAAGGAAATCCAAAAATTCAAATACTAAGGTGCCCTTATATGTCCGGGGCTCCTTCAACCAATTGCACCAGTCAAAAATATGTGCTTTCTGAATGACTTCTATTACCAGAGTAAATTTTCTTCTAATTTTTATTTTTACTTTAAAATTGTTTCCTTTCTAAATTGTATTATTTTCTTTTTCTTATGGTAAATCTATTAATTACATTGCAATAAAAAAGGAGGACCTTTGCAATAACATAGTGCAAAAATGAAGGCAAAGTACAGCTGTAATGCACTATAACATGTTTTGTTAGTCATGTGAGGTTCTTTAGCTCATGACCTAAGTATCCTAGATAGACTTCTTCATCTGTTAAGTATGAACTGGCACTGCTGGTATCCCTGGCTCTAAGAAAAGTCTCAGGATGTCAAGCATGTGATAATGGATATGTGGGTGCCATAAATCAGAGAGCATGAAGGGTCTTCTTCCACTGTTCTCTTAGCTATTGGGCCATGCGACAGCACCCATCCAAATGGAGTAAGAGCACAATATTGGATAAAAAGGACTAGAAGGTATGAGCTGCTCATACCTGGTGCTTTTATATTCTATATGACATATATTGTTATTTATGTTTTTACACATGCATATATCTGTGTATGCACAATC